TGTGGACTAGATATAGGGTCCCCTAGATATATGGCTTATCCGTTTTCTATTTGCGAGATTAAAAAAAAAAACATCTTTGTCAACCAGCCTTCTAAATTTGCAAGAGAATTGTGTATACCAATTTTCTTCTTTTATAGCCAAATGGATCGAGATACATATGTCATTTGCGATTGTATTTAATTTAATTTTTTCTTTCTTCTTGTCGGTACTAATTAGTCAAATTTATAAGAAAGTTAGTGTAGTTATTTTTTTTAATATTTACGTTCTGTTTGTTTATACATAATGTCTAATGTGTGGATTTTTCTCAAGTTATATGTTCATGCTTTTTTCTTAATTTCTGTCTTCTTGCTTTTCATAATTTCTATATTTAAGGTCTTGCTTTTCTTACTTTCTAATCTATATATGTTTTTACGTTTTCTTAATTTCAATGTTTTGATTTTTTCTTGATCTCTACATTCACCTTTTCTTAATTTATATGTATGTATTTTCAAATTTGAACCTTCTCATTTACCTCAAGTATCAATTATTCATTACTTGATTTAACCATCATCAACCATATGATGACTCGTTTTCTTGGAAGAATAAATGTTATTTGGACTATACATGACAATTTATTGGTATTTGTTATAACATATTTAACGTACCAAAAAAGGGAATAATCCTTTCTAGTGGCACCAAAAAAAGGCTTTCTCTAAATTTGGTCTGTGGGTTTATGAAAATTCAGAAGATTATATTTCTAGATTACCAAAAAATTTCAAAACTACGCATCTTTTTTTTTTCCAGTAACAGGTTTGAAGCATGTGTTTGATCTGTCATCTATATAAATATAGTGACTAGTATACGCATTTGAAATCGTGATTAAAAAAAAACACAGGTTTTTATGATTTAATCAATCTTCTTCTTTTTTTATTTGGTAAGTAAACCTTTAGGACTGAAAATAAATAATTAGTCAAAAAAAAAATCAGTAAACAAGGGAAAACAGGTGGGGTTTTAGTCCACATTTTGTCAAATATATTAAAAGTATTTCCGTTAGTGGCGATGATGTTCCTAATTGTCGACTCCACCACATAAAATATTTAATTTAGAAGATTT